TTATATTCTAAAGCTTTCATCTCCTTAATATATAATCTGAAACCATTAAATAAATTTATTTTCGAGTAAAGTTTAATTTTTGTGTGAACTTGCAAAAATTTTATTTCTCTTACAGCACTTGATTCTAGTCGTCGTTACATATATATTTTAGCGTATTTACATTTTAACCGTTATTTCATAGATTAGTTAGACCCCGTATAGACGTATCTGATTTTCTTTTCTTTGTATTAAATAGTTTGTATAGTTTATTTAAACAAGTTCAAGATACATCTACGGAATTTTCTATTTTGTCTTAACTGCTTCCTTATGCTGGTGACCTTTTTTTCTTATAATTTCTTCTGTGAAAATTTTATTCTTAATATATTATAAGCTTTGCATTAAATTCGTTTTTACGTTTGTAAGTTAACCCATTTAAGTTAGACGCTTGATACAAATTTATCGCTTATTTTTGATATATAAACTTCGAACGTAGCAACAGTCCTCCCCCCCCTCCAGATTATTTTTACGATGGCTTATAATCAACGTTCCTTCCTCCATACATCTATCACATCTTGTCTTCCAGCGCGAGTTATGCATCTGTGGAAATCCTGCGCTTCATTAACGTCTCCCGTTGACAGGCGCCTACGACTTTTCATCCATATAGATTGCTCGTAATGATAAAAGCTGTTACTTTCCTTTCTTTTATTTATTGCTGAAAGCAAAGGGGGGGGGGCAGTAGAAATCGTCCATAGTATAAGGATAACGAATTAAAAAAGTAAGAAGCAAAATACGAATCCTCAGCAGGCGTCAAGTCGGAATTCAATCAGGTAATCCTGTCGTGATACAGGTAGAAAAGTCATCTAGTTCTCTCTTTAGGTGGATACTTTAGAGGATTATTGGGCAAGTTAATGACAAAACGATAAATCACAGTGTAGTGGGATGCCACTTAAAATAGATGATGGTTGGTGGTAGTTTTAGTGCATTTGTTTAGAAACTCTTCCCCTTCCCCCCGATGTACCAATTTCTTCACATTTTTATGCGAAGTATATAGCCAGTCTATGTTAGGAATTAGTTTCCAGTTACCAGTTTTATAATAGTTTCTTTTGTGCGTCTGAAATGTTCTGCATGAAAGCTATCACCAACGCAGGACTGTCATTATGAATTAATGCGCATGCTTGTGATCACTGATTATGAGGGTTATTTTTATTTGATACTCGATCACGGTTTGAAAAGTATCTGAATTCACAATATTGTTACGAATTTTGTACATAGATAGATGATTTTAGAGCAATTATACGTTAAATTGCTTTTTTTATTTTGTATAATCTAACATGAAAAAATCTAAAGGAGCGAAGCTTGCCGAAAAAGTAAGAATACAACTGCAAGTCTATTTAAGCATTGAGTAAATGGGTATCTCGGTAATTTGGAGAGATATCGCCAAGCTGGCAACGGTTTCGGAGACTAATTTTTGTTTCCAAATCTGGCGAGAAATTACCGAAAATCGCCAAATTTGGCGACATTTTTGTTCGGTTCTTGTATCACCGTAATAGATATTGTAATTGAATAAACGTAATTGATCGCTATATTAGCTGTAACCGTAATTCGACCCTCATATTACCTACCAGAAATTTTCGAGAAGCAGAAAGTACTAGAAATATCTCGGTAGCCGGGTGAAAACTGTATAAGGCCGGAGAGAGCATCTGCTCTTAGTTGTTGTTGTTAGTTGTTAACATTTTAGAACTTAAAAAAAAAAAATTTGTAAAAATTACGATTTAACTTTCTATAGGTTTGCCTCCCCCCCCCGACCCTATACTTAAAAAAGATATACACATTGTAAAACATAAAATACAAAAGGTTTGACTTCCTTACGATAAAAATTTACCAAGATAATTAATTTTGAAAGTTTGCAATTTTTCAGGATTTTACGACACTAGTAAATTTATTGTAACGCGTTTCTTACGGGGTTAGTTAACAAATAAATTAGGATAAAATCGTTTTAAAAAAGGGTTGTTAAAAAAAGGTTGTTTTTATTGGCATTTAAAGTCATTCAGTGACATTCCTTTGTGATTTACTGACGCGCAGTATTCATTCGTTTTTAATTTTTACAATTAATCACTGTGTGGTGTCGGTTTTGGTAAGAAACTCTCATTGGCTTACATTACATTTTTGATAACACTGCGAAAAGTGCACGTTAAATTACAGGGCGTCCAGCAAAGGAGTCCCTTATTTCAAATTTAAAAATCTCAACAAAATTCGATAGAGGAATACAACAACTGGTATATTTATTATGAAAGCTGTAAAATTGTTGTGAAGAAGTTTCCAAGTAATATTTACAAAAGCTGCAAACAGAGGACGCTGTAATCGCAGTGCATAGTGCGTATAAATGGCGCCACAAAAGACGTAAGGGCGATCGTTTTGATTCACTTTGACCTGGACTTTACCCAACCAAGCAGGTCAATTAGACTTCACAATTATTCAAGTGTATTTTAATGTAAATTCAGTGCCGCGAACATTTTCTACCATGTGTTGAAACCACAGCCAATCATTAACAACCACACAAGAGACTCTCAGGATTGGACAACAAAGTCACGTGATAAAGTGTTCTGATAAAGTTCTACACCGAACTCATTACTAAGACTTGTATATAGACAGACTTGTATATAGACAGAATTAACTGATGTAAATAGAATGAACAATTGCAAGAATGTAAGAATTTCTATCCGTCAAACTGAAATGCTCTTAGTTAAAAAAATGAATTGCTATTTTGAAAAATGTAATTGCTTGCTAATTGGAACGCAAGATCGACTTCGTCACTACTGGATTCACGTCTCCTGGCCTCCTGGCGTTGGTGCAATGCACCATTATTTTAAAGAATTAAAGTGAATGGCCCTAGGGCCATTCACTTTAATTTAATGGAGCTAGTTTTAACGACTGGTTAAAACTCTGTGAAATTGAGAGCCAGCTGTAAAGTTAATGATCCAAGATAAGAGCATTCAATTCCACCTATGAAATGTGAAAGGTGGTTAGTGTATGGGAGGAAGAAGTTGAAATCATGTATTCCATTGAACAACATGTGTTTCTAGTACTGGAATACCAGAGGTTAGTCCTGTTGCAATACGGCGGAATTTTCAAACACGATTGAGTGTTCCCAAAGGACCGATTGTGAAAACTATTCACTAGCTCTTCGCTAAATGTCCAACAGACAAACAGCGTGACCGATGATCTTGTAGGGAGTTTTGGTCGCAAACAAACTGTAGTTACTTCTGAAAATGTCACAACTGTTTCTGGAATTATTTAGCAAAATCCGAGGAAATCCATCCAAAGAATTGTAGCAAAGACTGGTTTGAAGAGTTTGAGCACGCAGAAAATACTGAGAAACAGCTCTAGACATGTTTCCATTCAAAATCCCGGCGCCGGCGTACAGCGCCATCTGTTGGCAGCTTTTGTAACTGTTATTTCGAAACCTCTATATAGCAATCTTCAGCTTTCACAATAAATATGCCGCTTCTTGTATTCCTCTGTTTTTGTTTTTGAGATTTTTAATTTTGAAATCAGAGACTCCTTTGCTGACCACCCTGTAAATTTGAGATATTAAATGGAGCATTATGCGATTTCTTAGAAGATAATGGCTTACTGGAAGTTCCCTCAGCTGTGTAACATATAGATCTGCAAGGTCACGCAAATGTTTCAGAATTACATTTGGAACTAATACGTACTATTGGATGTGGGAATCCAAGAGAATGGCGGCCACTATCACCTAACTTAAACCCGCTGACTGCAGCATCGAAGGGCCTGGGATAGAATCCCAGAGAAGGCAGGGATGTTTGTAACTGTTCAGTACGTGTGCGGCATAGGGCTACTCAAAATACATGGCGAGCCGAAGCCTTCTCGAGTGGTTGGGTGGTATGGGAAGAAAGGTGGGAGACCTTCGGGTTCTTCCCCCGGGGTGCTCAAAATGGGGCGGTGCTGGGCAAAGTCCTACTGTAACCTATATGGTTCTTCAGGCTCATGCCAGTGACATACACAATCTTGATCTCCTTGCCCCGATTACATCAGACAAGCGAGATTAGAAACAACAACAACAAATCCGCTTTATTTTTTTTTTCTCTCTGGCCGTCTTAAAAAACAAGGAAATTAACAACTGAATGAAAGGATGAAGGAATGAAAGGATTAATGAAAGGAAATTAACAACTGATGTCGGACAGACCTACATTAGTTGCAAGTGCGTATGTAACAGCAAATATATTAATAGAGCGGTAGAATACTTTATTTTACGGATATATGTAAGTATGTGTAGCAGTTGACGGCAGTCTATTCCGTCAAATATTACACTAAAATCATTTAGTTAGTGAAACCTGTGTTTCGCTTTAGAATTTTTCGTTTTATCGTTTTCATTTGAATTATAAGAATGTCTGCTTTTCTTAATGCTAGCATAAACTGTGTTTTTCATTTTCACGAATTATTTTTATTTATTTATTAGCCCAAAAGGGCTGTTAGTCACGAAACTCGACTGTGCGTTGGTTTACTTTAATGCATCGTTTCACTTTTTACTCAAGTCTGTTGCCATTCGGGAAAATGTAAGATATTTATGTTTAAAATTTAATCTGTCTGTTATTGATGAGAAAACAAATCTATTTAAAAGCAATAGATCCAGTTCTTAAGAAAATTATTGTTATTATTATTATTATTATTTTATATTCTAATGTGATTGGTGTAAATGAAAATGCATTTAATTCATGATATAACTAATTAAAAACATTAAATATATTTCTAGAATTGCATTACATGTTTTTTCTTTTTCAAATAATATGAAAAAGTCGTATATCGTTCCCATTATAACATGTTCATCTAGCATCCTATTGTTTACTGATAAGCATATTAAACTTTAAAAGAGTCCTTTTATGCGGCCATTAAAATCTGATTTCTTTCAGATTTATTGTTTTTTCTCTATATATATTTTAAACAGTTTATTACTCTAAAGCTATAAACATTTTAAATTAAACAATAGAATAATTGTTTTCTTTCATCTTTATTATGTCATGATTTGTTACGTTTGCAAGAGTTAATTTTGTTTTAGTACGTATGTTCTGCTGGTGTGTTCATTAGACAGATTTCAGTTTGTTTTTATCTCCACCCATCTTCGGAGTTATTTTCGATTTATAAGCAAGAGACGATTGTTTATGTTTCGTATCTTTCTGATATGACAGTTATTTGTAGTTTTAAAGTATCTGCTTTCGTAAATACAATTAATTGTGCTCAACTGATATTTAGTGGCGTGTTTTATCGTGCAGCTTCATCTTTACAGATTACCGCAAGCCGGCATTTTCTTTAATATTATATTATCTAAAGATTATACTAAATTGGGAGCTGTGCGCGCATACAGATCGGATAATTCTTTATGTCGATATAAACGTGTGTATATTCTATTTTCTTTTACCGTGGTAATTATTAGAATTCTTTTTACTATAATAATGATAACTGAGCCGACTACATTGCAAGACAACTCGCTGTGCTTCATCATTACTGTAATTACAATGTAACTGCTTTTCTGTTGGCACAGGTGCACAACACGGTCCTGCAGAGACCTTCGTTTACATAAGTGGTTGGAACTTCTGAACCCCTTGCATAACATATTTTCGAACCATTTGATGTAGCCGCAGGGGTTGACCATACTGCGTTTAGTAAACTGCTCGAAACTGGGCTAGTTTGGAAACTAGGAGTAGAAAATTAGGTGTACTTTTGTATGTGTTCTTTATGCACCTTACTAGATAGTGGAAAGTGTTACGTGAATGATAATACATGTTTTGGAGTAACATTGCATGCCTCGACGTTTTATCTGTACTTTTTAGTTTTGAAATGACAATACTCTTGAAAATATTTTTTCTCTCTGCGGAGATATAGATATATATAGTTGACTTCGTGCTTTGACCAGTCTTACGTTTTGTTTTAGGGAAGATTCTTCTTTTAAGGATATTTATTTGAACCTTATTTTTTAACGTGAATTTTTAGAGAAATTTATATGGTTACTTTTTTGTACGTACTTCACATCTTCTGTGTTAGTATGCGCTCCATATTTTTTTAATCTATTTATCCAATGATTTATTTCTCTATTTTATTAAGAAACTTAGCAAAAATTTAACATTTTCAGCGGAAAATTTTATGTAATTCTCAGTTTCTTTAAAATTAATCGACAGGTTATGCGATGGCAGAATTACGTTATTTTATTTTATTTATAAAATTACGTATAGCTCACATATTTCTCTTCACGGCTATCATATTTCATGCAGTATGTTTCATTGTAAAGTTAGTCAGTGAATGCGTTCCTCGTGATATGCAGGAGAAATTTTGACGTTAGAAAAATCTTTAATAATTACTGTTTTTCTATCTCATGATCCTTTATCTTTCTTCTCATTTCAGCATTCTGCGGCGGTTCTCATTTCAGCATTCTCATTTACGAAGTCTTGTTGTACTTGACGTGCCATCAGTTGGTTCCGATGTACAGTAGTCTTGAGACGTCTTATTAAGTCATTATTAAACCGATAGACTTTTAGCCATTTCACTCACACCGAAAATAGGAAAACTGAAAATTTCATGTATGAAAATTTATCACATATGTAGTTGCAGATGTACGTATTTATAAAGTTGATACGGGGGTCCGCGGGAGTTAGGGGCACCTACATTTTTGCTTGTCTAGAAATTTGACTTTAATATTCTGCTGTTGATCAGATTCCTTATCGATAATACACAAAACAGTTTAACTCTATTTTGCTTGCTGTATTTACACTGCATTTAATAAAGTATGTTAAGGCGATTTTAGATTTGCGCCAAGATCTCAGCTATAATTTCGCCAAGCTCGTGAAGTGCGGATGTAAAAATAAACAACACAATATATAATAATAACAGTAATATTGACATGCCATTTTCCTGAGAATATTTTTAAGAATCCTTATCCTTATTATTTTGTCGCATGTAATTGTTTCAGTCAATTGCAGCACTTTCACACATAATAATGCACCTCACACATAATAATGTTACACCATTTCATGGACATCAGCGGGCGCACCAGCGGCCGAGCGGTAACATCGCTGAACACTGGTAGTTCGGTCTGAGGTTCGAATCCCGCGAACCAGCTGGCTGCATGGGTGTTTTCGTGGTTTTCCACCATGTGCAACATATATATTAGCCAGTTTCCCTTTAAAGGTCCTCCACGAAGGCATCCCTCCCTTAAGGCAGGTAGCCCTCGAGTGCTTTGCCGTAATCTAATAAACCAAACCATGGACATCAGCTCCTCTGCTCAAGAATGCATAAATCTAACAGCAGCGATGAACGATATTCTGGAATCGCTGAACAATTTCCAACAAGGCGGTCCTTCTTCCTGTTGCAGTTTTTAATATTGCATCTCCAAATGGTTTCGTTGTAGCCAAAAGTTTTATGTTGTAGCCCTTTTCGCATACTCGTTTTTCTTTCTATTTATTACGTGCTCCGCCCTTAGGCACTACACGGAAAGGGAGTGATGCCCCGTGGAGGTCTTTTTAAGGGAAACTGGCTCGTATCCACGTTACACATGGGGAAACCACGAAAACGCCCATGCGGCCAGCCCGTTCGCCGGGACTCGAACCCCGAAACGAACTACCAGTGTTCAGCGGCTTTTACCGCTCGGCCGCTGGTGGGCCCGCATACTCGTTTGTCAGGTAAAAGACTTCTTTCTTGAAAAAATTATACGGCTTCCACCTCATTACTTGGTAACGTTATATTCACAAAAAAGAATAAGATTGTTAACGTCATATGTCATATTCATACACACACACAAACACCCCCCCCCAAAAAAAATGAAAGGTTTCAGATTTTAAATTACGTCCAAAGGGTCTTTTTTTAACGTTTTGTGTGTTACCTTAATTTATTAGATATCATGTTCTTTGCACTCAAACCGTAAAGTTCAACAGCAATGTCGCAAAATAATTTTAAAATGAGCATATCTTTAGAATTTCCGATACACATTTCCGCGCGCTGGAGATAAAAAGGTCCCCCCCCCAGTAGACTGCTCCCATTGCTCGTTTTTAAGTCGTTGAGTTTGTTAATCAAAAATTCGTTAAAGTTTTACAAAATATGAAATCGATGATAAAACAAATTTCAAATGTTGGCTTTCAGATGCCCATATTCGCAGTAGGGGTTACGTTGTTCAAAATTGGATGACTCTAGGTACCGTCGTTTTATCACAGTGCGAGAAACATACATACATTTATGCAGATTCCTCATTATTTAACTTCTTCAAATGTAATACAAGACGATAGTATTTGGTGGCAACGATCTTAAAAGTGATACAACATTTTAAAGTTTTCATCGCAAAATCGCAAAACGAAAGCAATAGTCCTTCAGGGACAAAGCCCCATTGGACTAAAAAAATTGAATGTAGTTTTAAACAATGCGAATTCGAAAAACTTCATGAAAAATGAATAATATAAGAGCACGCGATATTAATAAAAAATAAAATTAGCATTTCTTCTGTTTTTTAGTCTGTTACTTAGTTTTTTAGAATAAAAAGAATTTTTAATTAAATATGAAAATTCTAAGATGAAGAGAAAACTTACTTAAGGTGAAAAAGAAACGTGGTGAGGAAGAAATTGATTACATAAGGATTTAAGAAAAATAATTATTCAAAGGGATATTGTTGAAAACATTAATAAATTAGCAGATTAAGCAGAGAGTAGTAAGAGCATTGATTTATCCATTAAAGCGAATAAAGTCAGAAAAGATGTTAAAGAGAAGGAAATGAATATAATTTAATTGAAATATCTGAAAAAATTCCAAATTAACAGAATATATAAATATTTTGTGTTATCTGTTGTAGCTTTTAATGCATAATTATTCTAATATTTTTTTTAAATCAATGTAATATGTGTTATTATCTGTTATTTTAAACAGTGAATTTCTTTTACATTGTGATTTTCATAGTACTTTGGTAACTAATTTTTTTTAATGAAAAAAAACATTATAATAGTGATGATGTAAATATAACGACTAAGGGTTAACTACCTAATTTAATTACTTGTAACTAATTGCTCACCCTTAGAAGTTACCTTAGTATTAAGACACAATAACACGCCGAACAAATACTAATTCAGAAGTCAAACAACAAAAGTCAGCGTTATATTTTCAAAATTTTCACAGGACTAGTTTCGATGGTTTTACCGAACTACCATCCTCAGCTGCCAAACCGCAAATGAACGAGATAGGAATAATATTAGATAAGATAAGAAAGCCTGGACAAGATAAGCAAGTGTGC